AAATGTATCTGCATCTGGTGAACCCTCCCAAACCTTAGGACTCTTAGATGTTGACATTGATCTGACCTTACCATCTAAACCCCTTGCTGACAACCCTCGTAAAAATCAGGTTTTAACAGATTTAAGTGATTTTGACTCTGATGAACATTCTGACAGCCAATCAGAACCCTCTTAATCAGAACCCCCTGAACCATCTGTTTTTCAACCCATTCCTGCTGAACGTTTTTCAAGACCACCTCTCAGACCTCTATCAACCAGACCCACTGGATGGTATAATTTTGGCTCTTGGAGAATTCCAGGGATAAATGAACCTCTAGCCACCATAAATCCTCCTTTCAACCTACCATTTGAGAATATTTTTGCTATGAATCAACCACGGCCTCAAAATCCCATTCCCACTCCTGATTATACAATAATAATTTCGCCTGATATCACTCCACCCACTTCACCACAACATACAACACCAATCTACCTACACTCTCACCCCATCAAATTCCAGAACAATAACCTTTTGAACAAACTGAAACTGTTGAACCATCTGACCCTCATGTAATATCAGAACCTCCTATTTTTGTTGACCAACCTGAATCTACCAATAATCCTGAACCCAATAACTTTTTAAGAACTGTAGTGGACTTTCAATCTCTACAATTTTTGAAAAACAAAACTTACAAAAAGGCTGTCCCTATACCTGTTCAGCCAGATGTAAATACTTTATTTCAGAATTTTACAACAAATGTTCAAGCATGGTTACAACCGCTGAAAGAAGATTGCTCCAGAAGCGTGAACACAGCTGCAATAGATCTTCTATGGAAAACCTTCAGAAGAACTTTGATTGCTGAATCACGGAAGTTACAGGAATTATGCCACCTTCAGGTGCTGGGCAACTTTTCCAAACTTCTGCATGCTTTCAAGACAGAAGCTGCTGACATTTGGAATAAGAAGTCTTCGTTAATGATTGCTGATACACCAACTGATAAGATGGACATATCAGAAGATGAATCTGAAGAATCCTCTGAAGATTCAAATCCTCTGGATATTGTTCTATTGAATCAACCTTCTGTTAAGGATGGACCTGAACCTGTTCCAACTCTTGCAATGGATATGGGCACTCTGCTTTCCACCTTCCTGAAGTCTGACTCAACGGTTGCTGCTTCCAAACTTGTTCCTACTGAAGCTTCATCATCCTGTGCTCCTACCTCACTCATTATGGACACTCTGAAAGAGCTAAAGCAGGAGAATGAAGTCATGAATAAACGCATGGATAAGCAAGATCAAACAAATCTAGAAATCAAGAACTGGATGGTGAAACAAGAAGAATCTGCCTGTGAGATCAAGAATCTTCTGATGGCTCTTGTTACTAACAGATCCTAGTTTCTTTTTTGTCTCTTGTCTTTTGTTTGGATGTTTTGTTTGTTCTTCTGGATATTTATTTTTAACTTTTTTATGAAATCTTTGTTATTAAAATTTCTCATTCATTTTTTACACTTTTTGATTATGCCAAAAAGGGGGAGAAAATGTGCATTCTTGAACTAATCACTATTTAACAGTTATGGGACTAAGTCTCAGACATTCTAACAAATTTGCAAGAATTCCTTCTGTGCAAAAGATTTTTTTTTTGCAGGTGTCACTTTAACTCTGAAAGAATATTCCAGCTAAGCTTTATCTTCTTGAAGAAGTTCTGAAGAAATTCAAGAAGACTGTGTATTACTCTGATAAAATAATCTCAGGATATCTTATGCATAGAAATATTCATTTCAGGGGGAGATTCTTATCTCTTATCCGTTTCTTTTCTTTATCTAAAATATTTTTTTGTCATCATCAAAAAGGGGGAGATTGAAAGAACAATATTAGTTCTGACATATCTCAAGAGTTTTAATGATAACTAAATTATATTTAGAATAATTTATACTCTGATGAATGTGCTTTGATGTCTCAGTTAATGTTCTGACAGAAAACATTCTGAAGTGCTAAGCAAAAATTATGTAAAAGTTCTTTGATAAAAGAACCTTTTCTTCAAGCGCATCTGCTGACTCTGGTAGGACATTTTATTTGTTAAATATATCTTCTAACTTTTAGTAGGTTCCTTGCTCAGAAGATAACTTGAAAGCAAGCGTTGTTCAAAGTTTTTAGCAAGCAACGCACTGCCTAGAAGATAAGAGAAGCTGCTCTGACTTAAAGACATTGTAGAAAATTCTGAAATAACGTTAAAGATCAACTTGTCTTGTCAAAGCAAAGGAAATATGTTCTTACATTCTGACGTTTGCTCATTAATGCAAAGACGGCTGAAAGAACTCAAGTGCCTACAACTAGTTTCTTGGAAAATGGAATATTGCAAGGATACACGCAAGCATTTAATGCTCTCCATCTTTTCTGAAGGCAGCAACAGTCTTATTGTTCCTACTATAAATAGAAGGACATTTATTGCAAGCCAATAACTACAACTAAGTGAACCAATCAAATTGTCAAAGAGAAGCAAGAAACTACGTGAAAGATCCTAAGCTCACAAACTTATTGTTCATACAATTTTGTGCATTATATTCTAAGTGAAAAATCACAGTTGTGATATAGCTTGATTAGAAGCAAACTCTATTTCATTATCTGTAAAGATTAAACTCTTGTATTTGTTCCTTGAGAGACCAAGTTTGGTCAGATTTCTCAAGCAGACTGGGACTAGATTTAAGTCTTAGTGGTGTTAGTAACTTGTAAGTTTACTTGTGCATTGTTAGTCACAGCAGTTGTTGTATGTTTGTAATCAGTTGATTATAGTGGATTAAGTCCTTGTTGAGAAAGGCGAAATCACCTTGGCGGGTGGACTAGAGTAGTTTGAGTTCAAACGAACCAGGATAAAAATAACTGTGTTCTTCCATTATTGTTTTGATCTTTGCATTGAAAACGAAAAGAGTCACTTATCCACCCCCCCCCCCCCCCCCCCCCCCTTCTAAGTATTTTCTTACCCCTTCAAAACATAGTATTTGTCATCCAAAAACTACAAAAGTTGTTGCATTTCAGATCTTGGACCTCTTATCGCCATATTGTTTCAATAGCCCGCAATGTATACCTGCTTAATATTTGAAACACTTTCAGGTATTTTATGTTTCCAATTTACAAGTATGTTTTAGGCACCACAATAATTAAAGACATGTCTTAAATGATTTACTTTTCCGCCGGTTTAAGGCGACATACAATGGAATGATCAACTAGCTTGGATTCCAATGCATGATTATGTAAACTAGAAATCACATTAAATTTTCATGTATCATCCGCCTTACTGTATCCGTACAATTTAAACAAACACTCATATTTTCTTGATCCAGTGTCCTCACATTTCAACTTCTGAATCGGTGAAACATACGTGCCACTTCTCTCGCATCTCATGGTAACAAATGATTGCCTTCGGCTAGAATCATTGTCGGACCTTCCAATTACAATTTCAAACCCCAATTTCACAACCATCATGCAGACATATTCAAGCATATTTTCATGAACAATAAACAATTATTCATTTGTAAAGTGTTGACCAACATCTACCTCGATATCAACCGGTCTAACATCGTCTTTCACCTCATCCTATTTAACATCGTCTTTCACCTCATCCAATTTAACATCTCTCTTTACTGCATGAGGTTTTGCATTAATACTTATAGCAACTTTGGAAAACATATTCGGGTGCACCATATCTATCTAGAACCAAAACAGAAAAATGGTAAAAAAATTACAGGAACATATTAATTCAGTGATGCATCTCTGAATCAAATAACAGGTGAATTCGAAGATGCATCTTCGAACTCGACGTACATTTTTTTCAGCTAAAAAACAAGATAAATGCAAACAATGAGGGATGAAATGAGTGAATTTTATCTTAAAGTGCAATTTCTTTTTCTCCCTTTGATGTGATAAAACACAAGAATGATGATTTAGAGTAAAAAAATTGATTGAGAATGAAAATTTAGTTTTGAGTTATGGAGGATGAATGAAATATGTGAGAGATGATCATACAAGGTGTTCCGCTTGACATTTTCGGAGATGCATCTCCGAAAATGTCACTGAATGAATAAATGATAATTCCCATTGAAAAAAGTTGGGAAATGGATTCAGAGAAAGAACCAATAATGAACAAACTTGACATGCGCGAAATCTTTTGACTTTTAGACTTTCAAGGATCAGAGAAGAGGAAGAATCGGAAGAAACAATATAAAAGCATAATTCCTCTTTGAACCAAAACACAAAAATAACTTCATCCAAAAAAACCAGAGAAGAAAAAGAATCAAAATGAGTACTTCTGTTGAAGCTTTCAACAATATTGAGACATAAGTTGTTGTAGTTGTAGAGGCTGCTCTTGTGCAAAACTCTCATCTGAATCAAAAAATAAAAAGAGGTCGCGCTTATGCAACCGAACTTTTGAGAGTCAATAGAACTCTTAGGAAGAGGAGATCAAGAAGAAGAAGAAGAAGAAGAAGAAGGGTAAAAAAGCCAGTCATCATCGATTCTAATGATGAGGATACACTAGATTATACTTGGTCTAACTTTCTCTTAGTTAGAGGATTTAGATATGATTATTAAGACCTTTTTCTAAGATTTATTTAATGAAAGTTTTATTCAGCTTAAGGTTTATTTAATGAAAATTTCTATAAACGTTTCTTAAGTTTTTTCAAATTCTGCCAACTTAACTCTCAATATGACGTACACTCCAGGGCTTTCTCATATACACTCTATTGTTATATGCTACAAAATCTGAATAAAACAAAAACGATAAAAATAAAATTTAGGGCTTTCTAATTTACACTAATATACATTAATGATTCACATAACCACATTAATGATTCACACAAAAAGATTCATAAAACCACATTAATGATTCACACAAAATCTAAGACTTTCTAATATACACTAATATATCAGCTTTCATCCTATGGTTATGAACGAGGTGACCCTAAACATGAAAAATACACATTCATAAGAGTCAGAGAAAGAGAATGGTGACTTACCAGAAATGATGTTCAAAGAGGATGGTGAGGATTTTCCTTCCAGAAATGATATTCGAAGAGGATGATGAAGATTTTGCTATCCATGTCGTCACATTCGCTAAGGCACCCTTGTATGCTATGAACGAAATAAAGTACTTGTTATCTTTTTATTTTGTGAGAAATGATTTTACAACGGTTGCAAAGTTCAACCGTAGTGATATATGAAACATATAAATACGATTTAATAAAACAATCGTAATTGTTAAACTTCCAATTTTTAAATAAAAAATATTAAGGGACGCGTAAAATCCAATCCAAAAGTTACACTGAAGTCGATAAACAAAATACAATCTAAAATATATCAAGAGTACAAATACAATAATCTACTGCATATGAAGACTATGAGTCGGCCTCGCCCTCGTCTCCCCACGTTCCTACGCTGCCTGATATACTGTAGAGCTTTTCGAGTCTCTGCCATCATGGCATATACAACACCCCTCGACTCAGACCGATCCAAAAAGAGTCATCTATCAATACTCATTTTCCAAATCTACATGATAAAAAAAACCTAGACAAGACATCATGAGTGTGATATGCTCTAGCATGCTCCTCCTCTAGTATCTCCCGATGAACTAGTCTAGGTGGATCTCTTGAAGCACCTTGTACCATATAACGATGTGACATTCGAAAGAACCATCGAATGTAACTGATACGTAGCTCCAGTCGTTCGGTGCTATGGTACTCGGTGCCTCATCTGGTATCAGATGATTAACATAATCATCAAACATGACATCTATATTTCTATGTTTTACAGTGGGATGAGCATACATAACAAGATCTCTAATAATATATTTCAATTATTAGAACATACGCATAACACACTCAGGAAGATGAGGAGCCGTCAAACGCGACCTGCAACCCAACCATCCCAAATATAAGACAATGCCATCAAAGTAAATCATGTCACGGTGATCGACATATGTATGAAAGTGTATATCCTCAAAGACCAACCAATATACACTATAAACGACTATGTGGCCTAGTTCCCTCTGAGCGGAGAGAATGCATAAGCACACGACATATCCTCAATATAAGTCGGGTCAAGTGACTAACCAGAGATGCATCGAAAGTGTTGCAGGATTCAAGCCTAAAAAAAAAGAATCATTAGTTAGTAACGATGTTACAATAATTAATAAAGTGGCACTCAAGCAATAAAAGACCAAAAAATATTACCGTCAAAGGTGTGATTCTTTCTGTCACCTTCGTCTTCCACATACAGTCTTCAAATAACTTAGAGTACAAGTAGATCAAACAGGTGCCTCCTCAATTGTAATCATGTATCTGCTCAAAGTCCTCAAAGTATCCCAGGTACATTACATCCACATAAGTGGCACTCTTGTCTAAAAAAATAACAATGTCAACCAAATACAATAGGTTTGTTCTTATAGCATACACTATGTGCTTACCTACCTACTCAACATCACCATTAGAATGTCGTTCTTTCTTTATCTCATCATCAAACACCTACTACAAATAGTTAAACATAGCATGAGCTCCACGGACCTTATCAAGCTCCTTCATGGAACTCTGGTTCAACTCAGTATTATACCATCAACTCCAGTCCATCTTCTTTGTCACACTTCCCATGATCTAAAAATTTTCCCCTAACCAGAAGATGCAGCAGATACGCAACATCATCCAATGTGATAGACATCTCACCATGTAGTAGATGAAAGGATGACGTCTTCGTGTACCATCTCTCTACAAAAGCATTAATCATATCATGGTTAACTATAGTATAATCAGTCTTGCTTAAATCACGTAATCTCGATAGTTGCAAAATTTCCTGAAACCACGACTCATTAGGCTCTTCCAGACGAGTGATCTTCTGCATATGATTGATGATTTTTAACGAATCATGTTCCTGCATACAAGGTTTAATAAGAATTATTAAAACAAGAAAAAACTAATAATAAAATAAACACAATTTTAAATGAATAATTCCAGCTAGATTTTACCTCTCTGTCCCAGATATGTTTGGTAATATTGTCAAGGTAAAGAAGCAACACTGATAAGTATGACGTACCTCCTCCAAAACCCCGAGATGCTGCGGGTGTGACCTCATCCGCTTGGGCCTATGATACACCAGGTGCCGCTTAGCACTGGGACGCATGTGATGCCCCAGGTGTCGCCAGTTAACCTAGGGCTGGAGTGCCTCGGGTGTCACTTAGGCATGTGACGCCTCTCCTGCATCAAGTACTTGAATAGGTGAACTCATGTGTCTACATGAAGTTGAAGGCGTGGAAGCATGACCAAGGAACCTTGCTTGTTGTAGAAGGATGAAGACGAAGGTGGAGAGACATGAGCCCTGGAACCCGACGACGCCTCCGCATTAACCGGTCTAGAGATAGAAGGAGCCTGGGATGGTTGACTATTTTCCTTCTAAACCGAAACATGATGTGCAACTTTGTCGTATCTCAATCTAAATGGTCTTTCAGCCATAATTCCTATAAATATACAAGACAAACGTTACACAATGACTCCTGTTAAAAAAATGAAAAAACTACAGGAAAGCTTATTCTTGAGAGACATCTCTGCATCAATCGATCTAGAGGTAGAAGGAGCTTGTGATGGTTGATTTTTTTCCTCTGAACCGAGTGTGAGTAAGTGAGAAAGGGGAAGGGGCGTTGACGCGTATTTGAACGAATAACGTCTAGAAATACATCTACATAAATATGTCGGAGATGCATTTCCGAAATAATTTTACGTGAGATTTGGTCTTGAACAATATTTGTACTGAAGATGGGTGCGTTTGGAGATGCATCTACGACATACTTATGTAGATATATCTCCGATAAATTATTTTCACTGATTAAGGATCTTGTTCAATAATGTATATAATTCTAGTGCATTCGAAGATGTATCTCCGAAATCTGAGAGCATAAATGTATTTTCTCACGATACGCTAGAAAAACATGAAGTGCATTATTTTGCATTATTTCTAACTTCGGCCTAAAGCCAATTAAAGCACTCTAAAATGTCACTTGGAAAGTGTCTATCTAGAACATTTTAAAACTACACATTCTTTTATTATGCTCTAAATTGTTGCGCTAGAAGTCTTACTAAAATAATTTGCGCACTAAAATAAAATAGGATAGGATACAACCATTTACCCGATCAAGCTATGAAAATGAATCCAGCATATTAATAAGCTCCAAAATTTATGCTCTATACGTTTCGTGTAGATAAAAATGCTCAGAGGCTAAACATTAACCAAACATATGTCAAAAGAATATTAAATATAGTATTATTCTATTTTTTTGTGACAAATAGAAAATAAACACATAATTTAAACAGTTACCAGAAACTTCAAAAGAAAATTCAATGATAATTTAAACAATGGCAAAAAAAAAAAAAAATTTTAACAGCAAATACCAGATATCAACATTTAAATAACGTGCTCCACCAAGATCGAAAGCATTTGAGGTGAAATAAGAAGGAAAAAAAATCACATTTTTCAAACTTTGGCTAGCTTAGAGCACCAAATATTATATCAACATAGACTTAGAAGAACTCTACATACCATTTGTAGAACTAATTCTAGTACTAAACTTCAATACAGTAGTATAGTACTGGTACTCTACAATCAGCAATACATGCTTATTAAGTACTATAATTATAGTTATTTCCACTATTTATCAAACTAAAAACAACATTAATGCTTGAATAATTGAAAAACAATATTTGACATTCTGAAATCATATACAAACTAATACAGCATTCATTCATACACTGAATCCAAACAAAGATTTTTATTTTTTATTTTACTTTGTAATTAGCTTATTTATCAATTGTAAGAATGTCATGTCACCCAATAATGAAAACAGCATTTGATTGTTGATGGTTTGAATGGTCTTACATTTACCATCATTAAACTTCTTGAGGAAAGTTCATAGGAATTACAAGTAGTATTATTTTAGAGTGTATTTATAAATAAGAGGCGTTTAAAATTAACATTTCTTTATATGTAAAAAGATGGGAGTATAATAATCTAAAAAGGCAAGCATATTCACCAAATACTCACCTTTTAATCAATACGACCATTATTTTATGTGGATTTTTAACTGCAAAAAATTATAAGAGACCTAATCTTCACAGTCTATTTAAATACAACAAATGTATAACCTGTCTCCTTTTCTTTTAAAAGGTCTATATCAAGTTAAGGTAAGTTTTGGCTAAGGGAAAAGGTAGGAGTGGTGCTGAGTGTTCCCTTTAAGATTCTCTCGGAGGTTGATAAAGTTTCTCTATTTGTCTCCGTTCATATCTTCGGAGATTGATGTTGTGTCCTATATAAGGTCACGGCGAGTCAGTTGATAAAAGTTATGAATTTTCTTATTTTGTCTAACCAGACAATTTTTCTCAAAAAGAGGGTTAATGTATCGGGCAGTATTGGTGAATGAGATTACTGATCTTGCTAAAAGATCTAGGTGTAAGTGTATCATTTTCAAGGTGGTAAGGCGCTCTTGGATTAGTTTTTGTGTTTTTTTTTTTCTAGTAACCAATTGGTTTTGTTAAATGGTTTTCTTATTTAGAAGGTGAATATTTAAAAGAAGCTCAACCAAGGGGATTCTCTTGCTCTTTTTTTTCTTCTTTTAAGTTGAAGTCTTGGATTAAATGATGTGAACAAAGTATGTATATCACCCAAAAAGTGTGAGCTCTCCCAGAATGGGAGAATAAGCTTGTTCAAGGGCTAAATGTGGAATAAATCCTTGATTGTTGGTTTAAGGTGAGAGAATTGGAGTGAATATATTTTGAGAAGTTGAATAAATCCTTGATTATTAGGTGGGTGGGTGTTGATTATCTAGTTATTAGGCAAATACGGTTTTAAAATCTATGAGAAAAGAATCGTTTCAGATTTTAATAAAAAAATAATTTTTTTTTAGGGTTTTCTAAACCGAATCGCAGACCCGACCCGTGGACCCGGATTTCTGGAGCTTTAAATAGAAACGGCGATTCCACCATTTTCAAGTGATATCAGGACGATTCTCTCCGTGCCTACCAAAAACCGATTTTGTCCATTATCTGGCACGGTGGAAAGTTGGAAGATCGTAAAGTCGTATTCGACTTTGATGCGAGGAGGTGCTCTTGGATCCATTTTTGTATTTTTTTTCTAGTTGCCTATTGGTTTTGGTAAATGTTTCCTTTACTTTTAGAAGGTGAGGATTTAAAAGGAGCTCAAGGAAATGGATATTCTTACTCATTTTTTGTTTCTTTTAATGGTTGAAGGCCTGAGTGGACCGGATCCGTCAAGTTAAGTCCCACAATACAATAATCTTAAGAGGTTTTAAGTTGGCAATGAAGGGTTTTGAACTTCCTATTTTTAGAATGCAGATGATACTCTTTCTATAAGAGAACCATCTATAGACAATCTTTGAACTTGCATCTAGTCTATGAATGGCCTTTTTCAAAAGTAGTGTTATTGAGATTAATGTTGATGATTCTTTCTTGAGTATGGTCAAGTGATTATTGGATTAATCGTTAGGTTTTATACCTTTTAGATATCTCGACTCCCATTTGATGCTAATCCTTGAAATTCTAGTACTTCGGATTCTATGATTATCACTCTTATAGGTAGGTTACTCAATTGTTAATAGTATTCATATCTTCAATCCTTTTTTTTTTTTTTTAAAGTTGCTATTGAACATGTGGAAGACTCTTAATTGAATTCAAAGAGTTTCCTTTGGGGCCTCAAGAGAGGTAAGAAAAAAGTTCGGGTTATGTGGTAGGAAATGACTTGTTGAAAAAAAAAAGAGTGGTTAGGTGACCTATGTGTCTTCAATTTGGATCTCTTTTAAGAAATGGAGACCAAGGGCTTTAACAGGTGGTCTTTTATTATGGCAAGATCTATTCATCGCTAGATATGACAACAGTTGAAGTTGGTATTTGTGTTGTTAAAGTTTGTTTGAAGTCTTATATTATTAAATTTGCGGAATGATGATTGTATAAATATGTGAGGACGACCTCACCCTTTGAGCTAGATTTAGGGGTTTAGATTCAAATATATTTAAACATGATATCAGAGTCGGGTTAAAGACTGCAATGTGAGTATTTGACTCATGTCCGCGCTATGCGTGAGGGTGGGTGTTGGAATTGGTATTTGATTTGTCCATGCCCACGCTATGCGCTAGCTTTTGGAGTTGAGATTCAAACATATTTAACAATCATGTTTTCCTTTCCCTGTTTGGTACCGTCCAAGGAACTTCTCCAAGTGTTCCTAGTGGTGGAAAGATGATTCGGTTTTGGGTTAGTCTTTCAACTCTAGGTTGGATTGGTTCTTTGAGGGTGTTGTGAAGGTGGTTGTAATACTAGGGTTTGGGAATGATATATGGGTGTGGGTGGTGAATGTGACCTATGTGTCTTCAATTAGACACTCCTTAGAAAATGGAGGGCTTTAACAGATGGTCTTTTGTTACGGATAGATGTCTTCATCGCTAGATATGACAACTGTGTTTCCTTCCCCTATTTGGTTGTCGTCCTTGGAACTTCTCCAAGTGTTTCTAGTGGTGGGTAGATAGTTCACTTTAGTGTTAGTCTTTGACTCTAGGTAGGATTAGTTCTTTGAGGGTATGGTGAAGGTGGTTGGTAACAGTAGGGTTACGAGGTTTATAAATGGTATATGGATGTCAGTGGGTGTGCTGACACTTATGATGCAGTTCAATAGATTGTTTTCTGTGTATGTGAATGTGCTAACACTTAGGTTGCATTTCAGTAGATTGTTTCTGGTGTCAAAATAAACAAGATCTGTTTATTGGTGGCATGAGTCACTAAGATGGGGATCTTTGAAATTGTGAGCTTACTAAAGGAGCAACCTCTGTGTGGGGGATCAAGGGGTATTGAAAATATATCGCAAGCCTTATTATCTAAGAATATGTCTCGGTTGAAGGATAACTGATCCTTAATCCATGATGCCAGTGGCGTCTAAGAATATGTCTCGGTTGATGCTAGTGGCGTGTTTAGAGTTAGCTCCACTTATTTCTCTTTGACTGCGTAATCCACCCAAATTGGGTGGCTCACAAAAAAGATACCCAAATCTTGTATGTTGTTTTGTGAAGCTTTGAGCAAGGTGACCTGTTAGTCATGTTTCTTATAAGGAGTGATGAAAGGAGAAAACAAATTTCTTTGGGCCAGGTAGTATGATGTTTGTAAATATAAAATGGATGGAGTCTCAAGGTAAGAGACCTCAAACTTTATAACTCGATTCCTCTTAAGGAAACATAGGTAGAGGGAAATTGGTGGACGCTTGAGTTTATGGAAACAATTTCTTGCAGCTAGGTATGGCAATCAAGCCTCTTCATATGTTTGGTGTCGTCTTTCAATAACACAATGTTGTTTATCCTGGGGGAGAGATGTTTCCTTGCTTAGACCCTCTATTTACCTTTCAATGGAAGCTTGACTTTATTGCAACAATTTCTTACAACTAGGTTTGGCAATCAAGTCTCTTCTTCACACGCCTGCTGTAGTCTTTGAGTAACACAACCTTGTTTAGCCTGGTGGGTAGATGTTTCCTTGCTTAGACCCTCTATTTAGCTTACCTTGGATTAGTTTTCATATTGGGTTGTGAACGTGATTGGTAATGGTTTGTGACTTCAATTTGGTCAAAAATGTCTCATTAGCAGACATGTCTTTGAAACACCGCTCCCTAGGTTGTTTCTTGTGTTAGATCAGTAACATCATCAACAATTTGAAATTAATTACTTATGCACTCATATGGTACGCGTATGAGTATAAAAGTTTGCTCACACGGATATGGACTTGGGTACTTGAATTTATTTCAAACTGCAAGCAAGGGAACGAGTACTATAATACCCTAGCGGTTCGGACCTTCAAAAATAATTATAGCCACCAATAATAGTTCGAAATGAAATATTGGATTTCCTTTTAGTGATTTTTAACATCCATACACAAAAAGGAGAATTTGATGATTAGATCATTAGAGTGAACCAAGACCATCTTCATCCAATGAGACACCCTATACCAAATCTCTAAGGCAAACTCATCCCGAGAAAATGCATGTAATGAAGTTTCAAAGGGACCACCACACAATACACACTAAAGTGAATTGCTTGCAAGGATAAATCCCTCTCAGAGGAAAGTTACAAACCTATCAAAAAGAAGTTGTCAAAAGAAAGTACTAACCTTTGTTGTGGAGATTCCTCTTCAAGTATGCTGAAAACAAAGGACCCGTGTCCTCCAACCGATGTATGTGTTGGCCTCCAGACATTGAATAGGTAGATTTCACCTGTAACAAGACTTATCCACTAATGTTTGAGCTGAGATAAAATGAATAAATTCCTAGAAAATTACAATTTTAGATCATTTAAAATATGAGAGAATATAATGGGAATGATATCCAATGCCTTTTATTGTAAACCTTTTTTGTGTTTGAAGGGAGTGCTATTAATATATTTTGATGTTAAAAAAATTCTAATTTATATATTATAGACACAATCAATTGTTACATTAATCCAACAAGTATTTGGCAGGAAGAGATAGAGGGACTTGAAATGATTATGTTTTTCATAATTTTGTGTGCACATTTGGTGAAAATTAAGTTTAGGCCTATGAGTTCATATATACTCCAAAACCAAACTTATAGAGGAGATTTGAGGGTTGAGAGGATTGGAGTTTGAATCTATAGATTGATGCAAATTACCAAAACCTCTAAACCACTAGTTTAATCACATTGACTTACAAAATATCTGCATTAAAATAATGTTTGATACTAAAATATTAAAAATCATCAAGAAAGATCATACAAAGATCATTAACTTTTGTAAATAACATTAATTTTACCTTAAGATCATTAATAGAGTATTCCATGTTAACTTGCAAAAAGTTTGGAAGGAAATAGCACTGTTTATAGAAGTGATATTTAACTGCTCTGCAAGGACATGATTTGATGTGGGAACAGAAGTATGCAAAGTAAAATAAATTTAAAGCAGATAAGCGACATGCATGCATAGTGTTAATTCCATGTGTATGCTTTTACCTGTATCAATCTCCAAAAAAAAATATATATATCAGGCCACTGGTTTGTGCAGAATATCATCAAATCAACTAATAGAATTTATCACAACCAAGATAATTATTTCCACATCATATCAAACTATCTAGATGAAAAAGAAACAACAACTAACATCACATAGTTTATGACATAAACCCTAACATGAATTGAAAAGAAAAATACCCATCTGAAGTTCCAGATCTCCAAGAAATCATAAAACCAGAATAACCTGAACCAGCTTCACACTACAGCACATAGCAAGAAAGTGATATCATATGGAAAGGGGTGAAAATATGATAAAAGTGATAGGAAAATTTTGTGAGGACCATACTAGAAATGACGTGAATGGTCCCATAATAATAATATGCTATATAAGCCAACTAGCATGTTTATATAATAGTCTAGAATCTGTATGTATAAAGAAATAAACTAGAATCTATGCATGTATAAAGAAATTGACACTCAATCTGGCAGACATGCATCAAAAGCAACGCCTTCTGTTTTATATAATACTATATAATCAACTTGATAACCTAAATAGAAACATAAGTTAAAGATTAATTAAATAAAAACAAATGAACATAGAAAAGCCAATCTGGGAGGAGAATTGGAAGTTGACAGAGAGAGCAGTGAGCACACAAATGCAACGGTATAGAACTATATCGAGTGTGTCTGTGTGCTCACTCTCTTCTGTCAATTTCTATCTCCCAAAGCAGAACAACAAGAGAAAGATTCTCGAATTTGAAAGGTGAAAAAAAATTTAACCAAAAGAGGAAATAACTAAGAATTACTAAATCAGATCTGAAAGAAAAGATAGGTCCGTTATGTATGTACATGGATTAAAACGGATCTGTGTGTACGGACATTTCTAGGGTTTGTTGCCAAACCACAACAACAGAGAAAGAGGGTAAAAATCAAGAGAAAACAGGAGGAAAAAAAAAAAAGAAAATGAAAATTGAAAACAGTCCAAATTCAACGAACGTCTTCTCTCTCTCTTCTTCAAGTTGCGGTGCTGTGATTAGACTGGTCAGAGAGAGAGGTGCATTCATGCAAAAGCGTAGAGATGACACGTGGCGATATCCAGTGTATCTCTGAACGCAAGTAGTTATATCTCTCTGTAGCTATGAAGCACGCCATGGATAGTAACAGAAGAAGAAGTAATTGCAGATCGATGAAAAAAAAGGAAAATGGAAAGAGACGGAGAATGATGCAGCCTTTTCAGTTTTTTTCCTTATTCGTCCACTACTACACACAAGGCTCATATAAATAGGAAAACTTCACAGACAAATTGCGCTCTTAAGCATAATTACTCCATTTTAATTCATCACTGACTAATGAACGTACTAATCATTATTATTAGCGTCAGTAGTGTAGTACTAACATGACCACGTCACATTCAATTCATGAGAGTAGCGGTGAAGTGAAGGAGGATTTCACTGTGATTGAATTCCAACCGTTGATGATTAGAGGAGGATTAGGTGCCGTTAGATGTGTAATGATTTGTGGATCCCTCTGTTTGTACCTACTCCACGCGTTAACGGAAAGGACGAATGAGATGGGTCAAATCAGGGTTTCAGTTCCTGATTGTGCACTCATTCAGTGTTGGGTGCAAATAAAAGTTAAGGGTCTACTTTTCATCATTTCGTGGTTAGGATTGTAGAGGAGAATGGTGGTGTTACCCGTTCTTCTCTACCTGCACTTCGTCCAATTCCGATGGCTAATCACTCATTGCGTTAGTTAAGGCGTGTTGTATGTATAACAGATTTAAATGAATCCATATCTATTATATTACCATAATTTACTTTTAGATTTAACCATCGAATTTTTTTTTAATAATTAAGTATTAAAAAAAATTCGTAAATAACCGCGTTTCAAAAAAAATTATACAAATAATCATGTTTCAGATGACTCCTCAAACGAGGAGCTATCTCACTTGGCGCCTACACTCATTATTTAAGGGGAGGCGCCATCTCACTTGGCGCCTATGTGCTTAGGACATGCCCTAAGCCAAGTGAGATGGCGCCTATGTGTAATTCTAGAGCAAATTTTGCTTCTTTTTTTTCGGTCCGGTGCGTTACGTATTGGAGACAGGATCAACAAAATTGACTTTTTATTAAAAAAAATAATTACATCCAAATGTATTACATTAAAAAAACAGAAGAAAAAAAACAGAAAAAAAAACAGATAAATCAGTGATCCCCCGGAACCCGGTAATGACCCCCGGTTCCGCATCCCCGTCCTCGTCTTTCCCGTGTTGAGTGTCGTCGCGTTTCCTGCTGTGGCAGGGTCAATGGCCCAGCGAAGTCAATGCGTTATGGATCCATAAAATCAGTCAGATCTCCATATCTAGAAGATCCGCTTTGGTACAGTCGGTTACCCATACCCTCAAAGTATGGTCGTGTTGCCGGTGGGTGGGGTTCCATGGTGGGTCTGTAGCATTGATCGTATGAGTACGGTGTGTAGAAAGGAAATGGATCTTGAGGTGTTTGGTATTGAGGATGTTGGGTGGTTTGGTGATACTGTGGTTGATGGTAGGTTGTGTCAGTTTGTTCGTAATCTTCCGACATTCCCAGATCAGGGCTAAGGCTGGATGTTGAGGGGCCCATATTGGGATATACAGAAGACTGAAATTGTGTGTGGGGTATGCGGGTGTGTTGGTATTGTGATTGGTATTGTGGTTGGGTGTGAGGCATATGGGGGTATTGGTACTGAGGTGATGATTGTGGTTGGTTGTGGGGCATTTGAGTGTAATTGTGTTGTGGTGGGGACTGTGGTTGGGTGTTTGTGGTTTTGTTTCTTTTGGGGGATTGGTGGGAGGTTGATGTGTTTTGGGTTTGTTGTTGGGGAAACGAGGGATGTGCCCATTGTGTGCGTGGATCAACCAAGTACCTTGGATGAGACACGTGCATCTCAGGGTTACTAACCGACCTGTACCAAGATAAATATTGATCCGTGTGTCGCATATTACCATGATTAAGGAAAACTGGGAATTGCAAGACATATCGGTGACGCCTCTGCCACATCTTACACTATTCCGGAGCAAAGTCTTTCCAGTTGGTAAGACCCCACTGGGCGTCGACACTTTTGAGATGCCATGGGGATAAACAAGTTGGATCACTTGGTATCTCTTGATACATTCCGAACTGCATCTTCACACGGTCGCTGTGATGCATCTCCACAATGTTGAACCGAATGATTGCAGTCTTCGCGGTCCAAATTGTTGCATCCTCGGGGTTTGGTTCATGGCTCAAACCCAAATATGGTCTCCAGACGAACTGCGAAAAAATTTAAATCAGGTTAACAAAAACGTAATATATAAATAATTCAAATGAAGAAAAGTTTAAAGGTACGACGTACATCATCTGGGCCTAAGTGATCCAACAGATTGTGGTATAGTGCGACATTGAATCTTGGATTCTTGCCGTAATCCATACCCTTCACCCAATACCTAAAGAAAATGAAAAACATTTTATTTTTAGCATATATTTGGTGAAGAGATGAATAGTAATAAATGATATAACTTGATGACTTACTTTGTTGCGTACGGGAAAACGAAAGTGTTGTTGTTGACGGGGTTTAAGGACTCCATCCTCCACCAACCCCAGGCTTGTAGTAAAAAAGCGCACCCATAAAATGTACATTTTTCCTTGACTGCATTTTTGCACAAGGAACTGTATAGGTGGACTAAAACTGCAGAACCCCAACTATACTTTCTTGTTTTTTCAAAATCTCTAAGTAAATGTAAATACATAAAATTTACACTATTTCCTGTACTTTCGGAAAATAAAAAGGTACCAAATAGTATCATAAGATAAGTTCTGGCTTTTACTATCCTGTCTTACTCGGAGGAATTTTCGTTTAATTCCAAACTTGCATAATGACTTTTAAGCTCAGTGAGTAGTATTCCCTGACCTCTCGCACCACCACCTTCAACCATATCCCTGCCCAACAATTCTTCACACTAAGAGTTGGGTTGTTGAACCGACCCGTTCATGGCCTTACCGTCGACAGGGAGACCTAGTAACATGTACACATCCTCTAGCTTGACGGTACATTCACCTATTGGTAGGTGAAATGTATGGGTCTCTGGTCTCCACCTTTCCAACATTGTAAGAATGAACTTCGAATCAATTGTGCAGTTGGAGATCTTTATAACATGTCTGAAACCTGCGTATTCCAGATATGGTACGATAAATGGGTCGGGAGCCAGATAGTTGTGAGACCGGATTCTAAATCTTTTGGTATCCTGAGTTAATAATGTAAAAGATGTAAGATTAAGTAAGATGAACATAGCATTACCTTAAGTATAAATAATGTATAACCAAATTAGAAACTTACAAATGAGGCAATATTTTCCCTTGTGCCTGTGTGAGAATCGCCCATTGTTAGAAGAGTCATTGTTTAAAATGCTTGAGATTATGAAAGACTTAGAAGGTGTAAGATATTATGAAAGACTTAGAAAATGTAAGAGATTATAAAAGACTTAGAAAGTGTAAGAGATTATGAAAGACTTCGTAGCAGAGAGTGAGACGAGTGTGGGTGTGAGAGATGTATGATATGGTATGTATTTATAGGCAAAAAAAATTCATAGAGTGAGTGAGGTGGTAGCTGGTGCATGCATGCATGAGAAGTGTCACTCTTGCAGGCTAGGTGGCAGCCTAGGGGGTTACATATCTGTATGCATGTAACACGATTGGACATTAAGGGAGGCGCCATTGGACTTGGCGAAAGAGTACAAAAATGAAAGGCGTCACCATCCCAATTGGAGAATAAGAGGTGTCATTGGTTGCAGAGTAGGCTCAGGCTACGTGACAGC